TGATGTGCAATTTGTGTGCGCAGTATACCCCTTAAATTACAACTTTATTTCAGACAGAGCTACGTTAACTGTAAGTTGCAATATGTTTATTCAMTAAATTTCATTACAATTAAATCAGCACACTCGTATCCTTTATTCCATTGACCKGRCCGGTCCTCTATCTACCGCCTTTAGCGGCGTTTCACAGTAGGGGAATTTTGGGGGCAAAAACGAGCAATATGTCCTTCCTGGTTGCAAACAAAGCATCTCCTCGGGCCTCTTTGGCGGCGGTATGGCGCCTGCCTGTTCGTTCGCCCAGCAAACGCAAATCGTGGTGATGGCATCAGGCCTGGCATTGGGCCTGGCATTGGGCTGGGACATTGCAGTCGTATGGTTTTGTCAATTGCTTTGGCGATTTCCGCCTCCTCTTTACTAGCCACTAGCTTCGTGAGGATTTGCTGCAGAGCCGGTTCGCCCACCAAAGGGCGACACTTTCTCAAGATAATGCTGTATTTGGTGGCCCTATCATCAGTTAGATTCTGCGCCGTCGCCACCACCTCTTCTAAGGCTGCCATGGCCGCATAAGCATCAAAAAGTGCCGTCGGGCGGCCCACTAGCGCTTGCAAGGTGATTATTGCCCCATCCACGGTTTTTGCCCCCGCCTTTTTCTTCCTGTCCTCCAAATCTTTCCTTAACTTTTCCACCTATGGAAAATGAATCGAAACTATTAATTTACATCAGATACCTCTCCAGTGCTCTCCACCGACCTTTCGGTTCTATGCTCTCATATCACTTTTGTTCACCGACCTTTCGGTTCTATGTTCTCATATCACTTTTGTTCACCGACCTTTCGGTTCTATGTTCTCATATCACTTTTGTTCACCAACCTTTCGGTTCTATGTTCTAATATCACTATTATTCACCGACCTTTCGGTTCTATGTTCTCATATCAATTAACTTTCTCTACCCGACCTTTCGGGATTAACTCCCAGGCCTTCAATTTTCCTTAAATTTCTCTCTACCCGACCTATCGGGTACTGCCTTACGGGCTTTATCYTAAATCATTCGCGAGAGCACAGGATAAMTTACCCTTGGGAGAGCATACGCTTAAATTAAACTGTACGCTCGAAAATATGTACACTAAAACAAAACTGGGCAAAGCAAAAGCTAATACACAAAAGAACTAACGAGCAAAAGTTTTAAACAATGTGCCCACAATGGCAAAATTTACAATAATAAGTTCTTTCGACATAAAACTTCACCGATAAAATTTATTCGGCTACTAAATATACAGTACTGACCCAATAGAAAAGCCACTGATACTAAAAAGGCTAAYGATACTCGTCCTRCSTGTCATTAGATTTGCCGTACATAGCAAACTATGAAAATTAARCTGACCCATGCAAAACAAATCACTGTCAACACATACCTCAGAAACCTGTGTTTCAGTTTTCTTTGCTGGTTGTACAACGGATGGCTGAGGAGCTCCTGCTGAGACTGTGGAGACCACAGAAGTTCCGTTGGTCCTCGAAACTGCCAAGGTTGAGACCGTCCCGACGGCCGAAGGTACAGTCGAAGCGCTGGAAATTACAGAAGTAGTCGGCGGGTCTACTACGTTACTGCCACCTTCTAAAGGTTCAATAATGTCATTGAGAGACATAATTGGATTCTAAACTGCTGGGCGAACGATACTCGTTGACTTAAGAGGTCCTCTCCTCACGWAGGTTCACGYCAAGTGACGCTCATCCATAATTAATGACTACTTAAATAATACCAATGACGTCATCAGGATGGTTCATGAATATTCAATGAAGTATGAATAGTGTACATGCGACTTACTATCTGTGTATGCTATGCAAGCCTTTATGACCATTTTCTTTGTGTGTATCTTACATTGGGGTGTGTATTGTCAACCTCCCCCCAGTTTCACGGTACCTCCTTTCAAATGACTCAGCATCCGTTCATTTGATCGGGACKGTTCTAGAATTGATATATCCTGAAAAGGAGGTAATTTGACAGTTTAACCTGATCATGATTTGATGTYATGAAACATGGGGTTTAGTTGTAATTTGTGTGCGGGATCAATTTTAGCCAACTTTGCTCTATATCTCAATCATCTTCAAAGGGTACATGGCCAAGACAGCAATTTCAATGTGGTTTGCAGTATACACGGTTGTAGTCAAACGTATGCCAATTTCTATGGTTRCAGAAGCCATATTCAAAGAAAACACCTTGGCAAATGGGAAAATGCTCGTAAGTGCCCGATACACAGGGAACCCAAGACCTAGACACACAACAAGAAGACGAAGAAGACGAAAATTCAAATGAATATAATCTACCTGCCGATTCTGATTCCGATTCAGATGATTATCAGTATGGGTTTCAATGTGCCTCATATATTTTGCGAATGAAAGAAACAACACACAATCTAACGCAAAATGCCATAAATGACGTCATAGCAACACAGAAACTCTTATCCGTGAAGCTATAAGTGCTGTATCTCAGAAATTTAAAAAAGTGGCTGAGGTTAACCCAGAGGTTACTGAGAACATTGACTGAGATACAGTCAACGACGAAAATGCTGACATTTCCAATCCCTTTSAAGGCATGAAGACTAGAAGGGGTCAAAGGCGGAAATTTCAAGAGATGTTCRGATTTGTGGTAAGTATTTTTAGGGATGATTAATAGTCCACCAATCGAAAGGTTTAAGAATCGAGTCGCTTTAATTAAGGTCCAGTGTTTTCGGTCAAGTGCGCGAGTTTTGCAATATGTACTTCTAATTACAAAGAAGAATTGATAGCGATTCATGTGTTTAGTTATCTGACTAAACTTCGAAAGCCAGGAGAAATGTTGCTCGCATAMTTCGGTGTTGACATTCTGTTGAAAGAGGACAATTAAAATGTAAAAAAAATGTGTGAAATAGATAAATTTTAATTTAGTATTGGTTTTACTTCTCTTTTGGTTTTGCGCAAATTTCTTGAGATGGCATGCATCATCGTGAATGAAAAATATGAATGTTGAAGATTATATTATGAAAACTTAAAAATATGTCATTATTAATTTTATTTAGGTTTTTTTGTACAAAGTGGACCAAAAAAGTAATTATCCAGTAAATACTGTATAATTTATGTAATACCATGATCACCTCAGATTCTTTTGTCTTTTGAGGGATATTTATAAGCGAACATCCCTCCCTCATGAATAGTATGAGGAACGATTACAAAATATTAATCGCTTATGCATAATAACATTAGGGAAGATTAGACTAATCTCCCCTCATGTTATTCATTGGCAACAGAATGCAAAGGAAACCTTTGTTTYCTAGTAGGGACAACTTTTTGGTGCTGAAGTTAAGGTTATCGTTAACTTCAGCATAGAATTGAAAACCACTTGTTTAAAAGTTCGTTGTGGGAAATCAGTAGCAATGGTCGGAATACCAATATCATTATGTATTGTTGTTCTGCAAAAATCTTTTCAATGACACAGTGAAGTACTTGATACTCTTAGATTTGTGCGTATTCATTTTTTCATTTCATTGATTGAAAACATTAGAATTGCAAAAAAGCAAGAAACAGCTTATTTGGCAATCACTCTAAAAACGCATGCTTGAATTGTTTTATCCATTTTAAATTGTTTATTTATTGTTTATTTTTTTTTAGCAAAAAAAAAAATTCAATCCTCAATTGTCATTGTTGAATATATGGTCAAATATGTAAAATTATAACATATATTTTTACCTTAACCACACAGTAATTTATAAAACAAAGTATTTATAGCCGATGTTTACTTAATATCAGAAACTATTTCCGATTTTGCCCAATCACAGATCATTGATATGTGATACAGAGAAACAATTTCTGCTTTTAGCCAATCATGGAAATGATGCCTGGTTTTCATATGTCATTGCTGTGTCAATATCYGAACTAACAGTACTATGCCTGCTCTCACAATATAAAACAAGCTTTGAGTGTGAGAACATATATAATAAAATAACTCTTACAAAAGCAATTCTTTGCATTGCGTGTAGATATTTTTAAAAAACTTTTATCCTTCATAGCGAAATCTATAAACGTTTCTGTGTTCCAGGCCTGATTTACTAGTTTTTATTTATAATATTTTTACTGCTCTAGTATTAAATATATCATGTACTTCAATATATTATCTATATGAAGTGATAAGGTCTTTTAACAAAGTTTCTCGATGGCGAGAACGTCATTAATTGTACTTACCAAATATCCGTRCTGAATTCCCGCCAAAACATTCCCCGCCATTGTTGAATACGAGCCACGGAAATTGTCGAGTATTTTCCTCTCCATTATGTCTCTTCAAAAAGTAGAAGCCSTATATAAACGCGAGTACGGTACGTAGTAAAGTACAGAATTTCAACCCTCACGTTCCACTTCTACGCATGTGTATGCTATGTATTTCTGTTCCACTCCACAGCAAACTAGGCATCGAGGTATGTTTTACCGAAGTGTCCAAAATATTTCCAAGCTCTGGGATTCCATTCGTGTTTTAAACTCATTCATTGCAAATGTGGACAGAAAAATTTGAATTTGTACCAGTATTCAATCTGGGCCTCCTTATAATCATAAAGTCCAGTTTATCAAATTATCTCTTAGGTCGKAAAGCGCGCCAAGGTAGACAGGATTATCACGTATGCAAACATGGTGTCTAATTTCTCTACTACGCAAAAAAGCTCCATTTGAATTATAAAAACATGCCCGCACATCGATTGTATTTAATTTTATTTTACTGCACAAGTTGTGCTGGAACTTGTCTTGTACAAAWCAACCAAAGTTATGTTARGATCTTTTTGCAATTTTCATTCAGACTTAACATTGATTGACATAGCTGCTACATGTCAGAATCCGTGCCGGCAACAATGTGTTGTTGAGATMCTAGTGAAGATAAGCTACGTCGTCACATGGATTATATYAGCTCCGGCACTTGAATACAAACTTTAAAATTTGATGAAGGCAAATGCATAGTACTTTTRTCGAGAACAACAACAACAACAACGATTCSTATTTGTACCCTCCTGTACTCATCGGAGACTTTGTGGTGTTGCGGTCTGCTGGTGGTCATAATACACAATAGACTTCAATGTAGCAATTAGCTTTATCAGATCTTCTTTTATTCGATATATGCAGATTGGGCCACAAGTGATATGGTGCAAGTAGTATATAAAAAAGGTACTAGAGTGCTAGCTGTGCACCAGTTACTATTGTATTGCAAATACACAACTACATTTTTATTTACAATTTGATTGATCGATAATTATACAGAACTTGGGATTGTTTACATTAAACTACTACTATATACAGGATATGAAAAGCTCGCGTGTCCGGGTTTTTTAGCCATTTAAAATGGAGGCAAYGCTCAGTAAACCAGTACATATAACRTAAACCGYGCTTTAAATTCGCCTACGTTAGAACAGAAATGTTCTTTTGAGTTGTACATCTCTCGATATAAGGCTCAGTGTTGCATATTGGCCAGTTGCAGAGACAGTTTCCTGCTTTAGSCAATCATTTGTAACCACATTGTCCACAAAGTAGACCCRTTGACAGGCAGAATCAAAGTGGCTCTTGACTTGTTGCACGGTCTATGTCTATGTAACATATCATAATTTAACCCCGTATACGTTTTATAGAGAATTTTCTTTGACGATTAGATCTTGTTTTTGCGCCATATTGCCTACCCCGGACGAAAATGACCCTGAGGATCACAATACGCCTTGCCGGCCTGAYGTCTCCCTTACATGCTCAATTCCTTTGTTACACATAAAAGCAGTCCGGCTATATTTTATATCCTAGTTGAAAAGTGTAGTAACTATTCTGTCTGCAACAAAATGAATGGGGAATGTGTGAATACATCATAGAGTATTATAACGGAGCGGGTGTCTTTACCTGTGCAAGTCAAGTTATGACTTTGTTGTTTTTACCGCCTTTTCTGCTCGATTTCCTTTGTTTTCTCTTTTGCGTTTTTGTCTTTTAGCAAGACCTCCCAGTTTGAGCCGGACAATCTATACAACATGGCATAAAATGTTTAAATTCTACAACACAATTACATAGGCCTTTTTCTTGTTAGTCAGACATTTTTTTCACTGTGATTCGTCTTACCGGTCTCATTGTAGAGCTTTTAGSGAACAGCTTGCGGATGTTCTGCTCTGTTCTAAGCAGGTCTTCATCATCACTCTCTTCGRTCGCAATATAGTCAGAGTACTCCWGGGGYGCAACGGTGAAACACTTCCCCGCGTCTTTATAGTCCGTTTCTGTCATGTTTTCCCAGGTTGCACGATTGCGTCTTTCTTGGGCAATGAAACTCTTCCACCACTTGATTTCTGCATTACTCAATCTTACCTCAAGGTGTTTAAGTGATTTTTCCATTTGATCAGGCTCAGGGCAATTCCTGCTATCATTAACTGGAACGGCTACACTTGGCGTACCCGGTGGCAACCTATCCAACACAATGATTGGCGTTTTTGGCTCCCATGGCATATCGCGTTCGCCAGCCCACAGCTTATATGTCATTTCMACCTCTCCTTTCTTATTTTCTTTAAACCTGAAGGCATGGGGCTGACTGTGGTATAGTAGGGGATAGATGTGGGGGACAAGCCACTCCTTTATATCAAAGATGTTATCGATATATATCGTCGATGGAGTAGGTGTGTAGCTTTYGGCAATGACGTTCCTAAGGGCATCTAGCGTACACGCATTGACCTTTCTCAAAGACACAGAAATTCTGCTGAACATCTAAAGAATTTGATACCGGTTTTGTTAATAAAGGCCGCCTCACTGACCGTTTCACGCTACTGAGGCGATGCTCTCAGGAAAGCTGAGAGAGTTTCTACTTGAGAAGGCGAAAATAGAGATATYGTTTGATTGAATAAAAGCTCAGAACGACGTGTTTTTTATTTGAATGTACTATAAAACGACTAAATTACGAAAGGCTTCAATGCACAACCTGCAAGTGTGTGCAATCAAACCGATAACAATTTGCGTACATACCTGATCTACGTCCTCGTRAGTATGACCAACCATTAGATAAGATAATCTCACCTATCAAAAGAAAAAAAAATAGAATTTACTTAATTTGATAGAATATCAATATTGATTTAACATCAAACAACATTAACATCAAATTTTATAACGGCGTGATTACCTTTCTAAATACACGCGCTTTAACCAAAAAAGAACAAAAAGCAAGAACATAGATGTTCTTGCAAYCTCTATMACAGTTGTCCATCCGTCTGTGGATTCAATGTCATTCAGTTAACTCTGGATGAAACSTACACTTTCATACAATTGATACAATTTATACGTAGTTTGTTTAATCAACCATGAATTATTTAAACTTCTTTCCAAGCTTTCGACCTAAGCGGTCATCTTCAGGGAACACAAAGACGTTACAAAAACAAAAACGCATTCAAACTGAAATGGAACTACTTTTGCGCGCGCAATAAAGACAATGCGCGCGCTGTTACAATTGAATTCAAGAAAGATGAGAATAATAATTAATTATTTAGCAAGCACAAATAGTTTCCAGGCAGTGTTCGACCTTTGTCCCTATTGAACAATATGTTCTTTCCCTTGGCAATTTGACAAGCCTCCAGCCACTTCCTTTGTTGCGACTTTGTTTCTGTTGCTACTACTGAAGTAGCGGCCCAGTCGATCGAGTGGCCAGTGTTGTTGGCATGTTCAGCAAGCGCAGACTTCTTCGCATTGAGGTGTCTTACAGCCGAGATGTGCTCACTTCTCCTTGTCTTTAAAGAACGGCCCGTTTCACCGATGTACTTGACATCGCATTCTCCACAAGGAATCGAATACACTATACCAGCCTTCTTGTCCGCCACAACCCTGTCCTTAGGATGTGARAGGACATGTCTTAGGGTCACCTCAGGTCGCATACAGCATTTGATGTTGTTTGCTGTCAGAACTTTGCGAATCCTTTCGGTGATCCCTTTGACATAGGGAAGTGTGGCAAAACCTTTGGGCTGGCTAGGTTCTTCGTCAGTGATCTTATTATTCTTGGGAGAAATTGAATGTCTTTCCAAAAAGCTAGAAGGGTATCCGTTTTCAAGGAGGGCGGTGGTAAGATGGTTGTGCTCAGCTTGCTTCACATCATCATCGGACAAAAGATTTTCTTTACGATGGACTAGAGTTCGTACAACTGCTGCCTTGTGTGAAGAAGGGTGGTGGCTAGTGTAATCCAAGTATCTATCAGTGTGGGTTCGTTTTCGGTAGATTGAAATTTTGATAGTACCATCTTCAGACACCCTGTTAAGCGTGTCTAAAAAAGGCAGTCCACTATCAGCGTATCGTTCAATGGTGAAGTCGATGTTGTCCTTGTCCTGTTCTTTTAGGTGCTTGTGGAAGTCTGCGATTGTAATGTTTCATCTTCGTCTCGAAGGAGTCTTTYCACACGTCGCGCACCGTTTGATGAGTAAGTTGACTTGAGCTCGTTTTTAACCTCCAGGACATGTCGTTCTGCCTTTTCAAATTTTTGTAAAGACTTGTAACATTTAATACATATTGAAATATCGCAATTTGAAAAAGTAGTCACATCGACTTCCAGAGTTTTGTGAATCAGTCCTTGTAACAGATGAAGCAGGTTTCTTTGCTATTTGAGAGTTTCTTTGGTGTCAAATCCATCGATTTTCTCCATCTTCTTTCACGTGTTGAAGTGTCCAAATTATATTTTTGTTTTGCTCGCGGCAAATAGTGCGAGCGATATGATTGGCTTAGCTCAAACAAATGGAATGGAATCCGGCGCTCGCGATTGGCTTAGCTCAAACAATTGGAATGGAATWCGGCGAGAGCAGCCGTTTGAGGGGAGGGACAGGAAGCYYGAAGCGAAAACGGATGCGAAAGGAGACTAAGTGGGAGTGGTCTTGATGTGAATAATTCCGTTTTGAGGGTTGCACAAACACACATGAGTGGTCTGATCGGCCAATTGGTGGAAGAATAGTAGCATCACCATAATWMMTGGACATTGAGGTGTAAATTTTGTCCAAGATATTCTTACCGCGCGTTGTTTTTTTTACAATTTGTWTCAGATCAAACGATGATGTTAGAGAACCGGGTTTGAATTGGTTGAAATCGYCCATCATAATGATACCAGAATTGGGAAAGCGCGCAAGAGCACTATCCAATCATTGAAWTAAGTGATTCCGCAGAGCACGGTGATTGTCCTCTGGTTGATAAACAGTTCCTAAGATAATTGAGTTGATTCCTCTTGGGAGATGCTTTGGTTTTATTAAAAACCATTGGTTTTCAAAAATTCAGAAAGGTCAGTTAGTTCCATAAAATCAAGATCAGCATTGATATAAGTACACAGACCACCACCACGTTGATCGTCAGGACGGTCATTACGAACAGCAAGAAGGCCGGGAATACTAATAAGGTCATTTGATGATAACCATAACTCAGTAATAACCGCGATGTCGCAATTGTTATTTTTAATGACTGCGCATATTTCATCCAATTTTTTAACCATAGATCTTGTGTTACTCAGAAAAATAGAAGGGAAATCGTATGGTTTAGGAGCGCTTGACTGTATACGTATCAGGTTAGCGTGACAGGCGCGCCGATTTAAATCCAATCTACGGTGACGTCGATCATCTGTGACGAGTGTTGAAATGCTGTAGTTTTGAATTCCTCTTTCACCATTGTTTCCGAAGGCGTTAATTTGAATATTTAATGAGGTTCCATTTTGATCATGAATATTTTGGAAAATTTTAAGTCCATTCTCCAGTGTCGATGTATAGCTACGGTTAAGAATGCTTGTTTCTCSTTGGGTRTCRTAAGATGTTCTTGTCTTCGACTGACCGGCAYGGCAACCACRGCGTGTGGGTTTGGTTCTTGAAATGCCGAGCTCACACAATCTTCGCCAGACATTATGGCCGAGTCGATTACCATAGGTTGGCTTTGAGATGGCAGTCAGAGCAAGTTTAGTGTAGTTAAAAACCATTTTAGAGTTTGCCAGGAATCTTTAGGTATATGGTAGAAAAAGCAGTAGTAAAACTGAACTTTGAGAATGAAATATAGTAGAACTAGACGCTTGTAAAGCGTGATGCGGGCTAGCTTAGCAAAAGWTTCACAATACAAGATAAAAATTGTATCTCCAATGAATATTGTGACTATGACGTAACTATATATGAAAGTAAAATATGCCGATGAATACCTTAGTTTTCTTTGCAGTTCAATTCTTATMGTTAACCTTCACTGTCTGCTATAATCTTATCATAAGCTATATCAACTATCAACCATAATCTTTGTGCTAAAGTGATTGTCCTACATTTGCAATGTATTTTGTAAAAATATTTATGGAAGCTCTTTACTTCTTGGTTAGCGATATCACATCTATTATTATTTACACAACAATGCATTTTAGATGGCATGAGTGCATTCTTTAAATTTTGTTTTTATTAGCCTTTCTTTCGTACAAAAGAAATCTAAAAATTGAAGCAAAACAAAGCTCAATTTCAAAACTTGTACTTTGTCATTTTTAACTAATAAAAAAACCCGATGATATTAAAGCAATTTCTTTGAATTTAAACAATAAAAACATTGTCAATTAAACAGAAGAATACCTTTTGCTGTCTATAAATGTGGTAAAAAAGCCAGTATTTGAGCTGATTTCAT